CCCTACGCACGAATGGTTCGTCCTCCCATTCCTTGTCCGCATCCTCGTGCCACCTGCTCCACCAATCCTCCTCCTTCCACCCTCTACTCCGCCCTCACCGGGCCTGACGTCCCGTCATCCTCCTCCCTGGCCTCCTCACACTTCCCCATTGTAATTGTGTCTTCGTCTTCATCGTTCTCCTCCTCCTCGACGAGTCCTCGTCCATATCGTTCCATCCTCCTCCTTTGACTTCCTCTTCCCTCTATTCCATCGTAGCGTTCTCCTCAGCAGATGACTACACGAACAGCCAGCATACCGCAATTAGAATCAGCCAAACAGTCTTCCTCCTCTATTTTCTTTTGCGCTCCTCTTGCTCTTCCTGCTGCTCTTCCTCTTTGATCGCGGCCTCGTCTTCCTCTTCCTCCTCCCGGCCCTTCGTCGTCACCATGTTCTCATTCTCCTCCTCCATAGTAACATTCTCCTCCACCTGCTCCATTGGAGCAAAGCCTCCTCTTCCTCCTCCATCGAAGCGTCTTCCTCTTCTGCATGTTTCGCAATTATAGCATTTCCTCCTCCATCGTCCTTTAGGCTCGTCCTCCTCTTCCTGCTCCTCCTTCTCCTCCTCCACCGGAGCCTGCTCGTCCTGTTCCTCTTGCTCCTTGATTCCGGCCATGTCCTCGTCCTCCTTATCCAACGTAGCCTTCTCCCTTGGTTCCATCCTCATCGTTTCTCGATGTGCATACATGACATGATGACAAGCTACCTCCTCGTCCTCTTCCACCGGACTCTCCTCCTTGGTTCCATGGTCGTCATCTCCGCCACCTATCCCATTGGAGTAAACTCAGTAAAGCTTTCTCTCCTTCCTCCTCGGAGCATCCTCCTGTTCATGCTCCTCTTCAATCAAAGGGACCTGCTCCGCCATCCTCTTCCACCTTCCTCCTCCTCCAACTACTCCTCCTCCTTCTCCATCGGACTCTCCCCCCATCCTCGTCCTAGTTCTCAGTTGTCCATGTCACTCGTAGTTCTCTTACTACTCCTTGTAGCCATCGATGTGCATACGTGCCCGTTTCGTCCCCCTCCTCCCACTACTCCTGCAAATCGGACTCTCCTTGTTGGTCCCATCCTTGTCGTCTTCTCCACATGTCCCATAGGTCCATAGGAGCAAAGCTTCCTCTCCCTCCTACACCGAACCATCTTCCTCCTCCAACCACTCCTACTCCTCCATCGTACTCTCCTCATCCGCCCCATCCTCGCCTTAGTTGTCCTGCTCCTCCTCGTGGTCCTCCATATCGCTTGTAGTTTGTTTACTCCTTGTAGTGATTGATGTGATTACGTGCCCGCTTCCTCCCCCTCCCACTACTCCTGCTATCGGACTCTCCTCGTCATTCCCATCTTCGTCGTCTTGTTCACCTGTCCCATGGGAGCAAAGCTTCCTCTCCCTCCTGCATTGTAGCATTTCACCCATCGTTGCGCTCTCTTTCATCCCCCTTCTCCTCCTCCTAGAGAGTCACCATCGCAAACGCCAACTGTCGCGCGACCTTCCAGCATTAATACCTCTCCTTGCCTGATGCCTCGGCAGTTCGCTTCGCCATTTCCGAAAATTTTCGAATATGGCGGTGTTTATTTCCATATTCAGATTATATTCTAGCTGAAGATTCATTCTCAGTTCCTCATTCAATGAAGAATCGAGAGAGGAACGTGGGAAAACAAACAAACAAACAAACAAACAAACAACAACAACAACAACAACAACAACATGTCTGCTGCCTCCCACTGCGATGAGCACGAAACGCAAATAGATGCAGACCATAGGACAAAGAAAAAGGAACATCCGGCCCCGCCATGGTCCCGCCCACCCGACATTTCTTTTGGGGGGGGTGGGGGGGGGTGCGTTAGAGGTACAGAGAGAGATAGATATAAGAGGGTTCAACCTCCTGATGAGTGGGTGAAACTCCTACGAAACAGTCTGTCACAGCTCCTTGCTTGTTGTCCTTCTCTCCCTCTATTTCAACAGAGGTAGATGAGTAGTATTGAGTACTCGTACACTCATCATGAGTAGAACACAGAGTCGGTGACACACGCACGATGAGTGAAGTACACACCAAGTAGATTAAAAAGTAAACATGAGTACGAGATGTACAAGATTGCAATGTGCCGGGTGATGGCAACCCGACCGGGGAAGTCCCCCTAATATCCTTTACTCGTTGTCAATACCCTACATTCCACTTCACTCGCCTCCGCCATTGACAAGCTTCCATGTCTGGAAATGACCACGGATGCACGAGCGTAGGACCTGAAAAGATAGAGGGCGATGCAATCAGTAGTTTTATAGGTCCCAGAAGATAAAGGTCACTCCACCGAATACACGTACCCATTCTAGCACCTATCCTACCCCTTAAGCGCGGTGGGCCCGCGGGGGGAGGTCGTGTTCCGATGCGCGCCGGAATCGGCCCGAAATTTTGATTCGGGCCGGCGGATGAAGGTGATCGAGGGAGGGGTGTTGTGCAGAGTGGCGCGCGTACCGAATTGTTCACAGCGCGCCACTAAACGAGAGAGAGCGCCCACGGGGCCGGGTACACGGCGAGCGTCGATGCGCATCAATATCCGAACGCGCCCAC